ACTGTTCTGACTAGGGGCTGTGTCAGTTTTAAAATGCTGTGAATCATCCAAGCCTAAGAGACAGCTGGAATAATTCCATCTGCAAGCTGCAGTCACTAGATTTGATAACGCCTACTACAATCATTTTCAAAGGCAATTATAAAGGCTGCCAGGACCAGCCAGGTTAAGGTGCTTTTCTAATTGCTCCTCTGTTCCTAAACTGTCCTTTTCAGAGCTGTTTCTCTACAAGCTGGTTGCAGTGTGTTCTTGGAACAGCCTGTTGCTCAGCACCATTAGCCCCATAGCCAACTCAGTCCGTGGATGGTCACAATGATAATGATGCTGCACCGACATCCTCCTGTATAAATATTTTTTGTTCTTTATCTTCCACTACTCAGCCAGTTGGGGCTCATCTCACACAGTCTGTTTGGAGACGCACCAAGTGATCACTGTTTGGCATTAGCATCGGTGTGGTATATCGTGTTCTAATTTTATTATTCTGTCCCATTTCTTCTTGCTAAATACAGCAGTATCTGGGAATTACATTCCTGTAGTCTGCTGTAGTAAAACTGCAGATGGATTGTGTTTATTCAGATGGTGTGTAGTCCGTCTTGGGTAGGACAAAATAAATGAAATTGTAGAAACTTTATTTGAAGCAGTAAGAGAGAACTTTGAACAGTTCATATGCTGTGTTATGGGTGAGTTAGGCTAAAGAAAGTACACTGGCTGGTGCATCACCTAGTCTGATACAGCTAGGTGATTTTCTAGATTAATCATTTATTTTTAAATAAATGGAGGGAAGGAAAGGAGGCAAAAATGGTCTCTAAGAATTTGTGGCTTAGGTCTGTTAAGGTTTGCTTAGATCCAGACAGGAATGTCACTTGACAGTTCTCTTGGGGGTAGAAGTTGAAAACTGCTACACTGGGTTTGGAGTTTAAAACATTTCATTGCTTTCAAGAGGTAGCCAGATGCCATTGCATGTTATAATCTCAGGGCAATGTAATTCTGCCCAACTGCTTAGAGCTTGTCTAGAGAAAAGTGGACAGGTGCTGTCCCTTCCCCAAGGCAGCAGGGAGGCTTCTTGGATGTGCCAAAGAGAGGTTTGGCCCCAGGGCATTTGGGAGGACTGTGGGAATTGCTGGAAGAGGGACAAAGCAGGCTTTATCCCATACTATTCCATCACTTCTGGTTAGTGTATTGTTTTTCTTGCTTCACCTCCCCAGCCGTGGATTCCCTGGGCTGGGATGGACGTGCAGTGGGATGAGCGGCCACTCGGTGGAGTAAGGAGACCTTCAAATGCCATGGGAACACGCGGGCCTTGCCATCTGAGCTCCTGGCGCCGTCCCTGGAAACACCAGGGCAGCACTTGGAAACTCGTTCAATCAAGAATCTTCTGTGCCGTACCTAATTAAGCTAGTCTGAGAAAACTCCATTACCTCTTAAGTAATATTTTTAAGTTCTCAGGGGCAAGAGTGTTAATAAGCTAATTCTTGCTGCCTGTTGCCTGTTGTTTGTGATGCTTAAAGAGAATACCCAGCTGATAAAGCACATCTGTTATGTTGTTAATCAGTCAATGGGAAACAGGATTTGATTCAAAATACAGTAAGACTATTAGGAGCCAGATATTCAACGAGGGCTATATTGTGTGTACTATAAAGAGAAACTGTTCTGTGAAGCTGTTCTGAGAGGCTGGGTCTCAAAATGCTGTTGTGATATTCTGGATCACAACCAGAATTGTAGATAAGGTCATCAGCCCTGGGGAATGCACTCTTTAGACGTTGTTTCTGACACCAGATTACAATTTTCTATGTAAGTGGAAGTGACATTGATGGAAAAGCAGCTGATTGTAAAGAAATCCTGCAAATGACAGCCATGGCCTGTGGTATTCAATGAAATATTTCCTGTTGAACTATTTATTCTTAATGGGCAAATATGAAATCACCTCCACTCATCCTATTTCAAGTTCAGGGAACTAGATTGGCAGGATGTAAAATATTTATTTCACATAGTGCATGAGTCAAATGGAGAAGCTGCCAAACATCTCTGATTAAACATTTTGATGCACCAGCAGGGAAAAACAACCCACTGGCACCAGCAGACGTGTCCTACCTAGGCCTGGAGAAGCAGAGAGCAGCAAGGAGTAATGCCAGCTCCATCCCCTGGCAATAAAAACTGACCTCCTTGATCCAGCCTTCCAAAAACTCTACCTTGGCAGTGCAGTTGCCCAGCAATGGGTGGCACACGTTTGTCTCCCTGTCCTGACTTCAGCACCCCTGCTTTTGGATCCCAGATATTTACTGACAACACATCCCATCCCAATTCTCCTGTGTTCATTGCTGTCAAATCATCTCCCAGCTGTCACATATTGGCTCAAAATCTTCAGCTGCCCATAGTGACAGCTTCTACAGCCTCTTCAGCTCTCTTATCAGCTTGGTTCCAGTGCTTGCTGGCACTCAGCCTGTCTGTGGCAGTTCTCAGACTTCAGTGCTAACTCCCCAAACTGTAGTGTCTCAACCTGGAGCTTTTGTTGTTCCCCCACAGATTTTAAGACTGACAGTTTGGGTCTAAATCTGTGTTGCTCCCTGCTTGCATATCTAGACTAAGTTCCTTCTCGAGGAAGAGAGAGAATCAGTGGAAATTACCTGGATTTCATGAAACTGAGCGCAACCCTTCCAAAGTGTGGGAGTTCCTCCCATGGCCAAGGCAAACAGGAATAAGTATTCCTTTTTTTTTTCCACCACAGTACTTAGTGTAACTCCACTTCCCAGTCTGGAACTGCACAGCTGCCCACCTGCACACAGAGCAGTGAGTCAGAGGGTGCAAGGACTCACTCTGACACATCTCAGCAAACAAAGTGGGACGGTGACACAGATGTGCTCTGAGGCTTTGAAGAGGCTGAACTCCACTTCAGAGCAGTCAGACTGACAGTAACTGATTCCACAACTCCAAGGGGCACCAGCTCACAGATTTTTGAATAGGTGCCCCCAAGGGGTGTGCTGAGCTCAGTCCCCATGTAACCTGAAGATGAGTTCAAGGGTTCCTTTTTTCCGAGATAAAAGCCAAACATCCCCACGTCTTAAGAATCCTGCTCCAACTAGACAACTTCAGAGAAGTTTGCTGATCAAATATTTTGCTTCCCTTTTCTCTTTCAGATGTCCTCACATCTCTTCATAAATTCTTTGCTTCCCAAGGCTCCTATCTGATCTCTGCACTTTGATTTATTTTTTTTTTTCCCAGTCTGGAAAGACCCTTTAGTACATCAGTGAGGGAAAGGAGAACTCCTCAGTATTTTTTGTAAAACTAAAGGAAGGTAAATGTGGCAGAGGCTCTGGAACCAGCTCTCTATGTCTGTGCCAAAGGGTGAATACATGGGGGGCTGTATTGCTACTGCAGTGTGTGCTGTCACTGTGTTGTGATTGACAGCTGCTTTACAGTCAAGCCAACCTCATCCCTAACCCTGAATTTACACATAAGAGGAATGAGAGACTCGTGTTCAAAGAAATACAACTTGCTGAGAACACTCCAATTGGTTCCCAGAAAAGAGATTAATTTGACCAGCTTGCTCTAATCATGGGATTTTCAGGGTTGCTAAGGGCCATATGGACCTCTCTTACTGAAGGAAGCAAATGAATAGATACTGTCTGGATTCAAAACCTGCTGCACTTACATGGTCATTTTAGTTGGACAGCTCCATCAGTCAGCTCCAGAACGTCACTCAGTGATGGATGGTCACCTGTGCTCAGCAACCACAGTGGGAAAGAAGTGCTGGCAGAGGCAATAAGTACCTGAGCCTCACTGAGCCAGTGCTCCTTCCTCCCCTGAGGTTGACCCATTATTCTTGGTCTGAGGCACAATACAGAAACCAGAACCATCCCTGGTCTCGCCTCTGGCAGCTCACAGCATGGGCTTAAAAAACACAATCACAATTCTCCAAAAATCCACAAGAGAGAAAAGGGACAGAGCAGAGAGATCAAATTAAAACACAGCCATGGAGCACAGCAGTTGCAGGAGGCTTTAATGAGGACTCCTGCAAAGGCAGGGACATCCCTTTGTTAGCAGCTCTGTCTCATTAAAGTGTGGGTGGACAGTGGCTGTTCCCAGCCATGCCCAGCCACGAGGAGTTCCTTTGCCTGGCTCTGCCTTCTCGCTTGAGCGCAGCGGAGCGTGGGAACCCCTGCTTATCCTGCTTTTCCTTAATTGCCCCTTAACTCTCTACATTCAGCTTTCCTCCCCCTGGCCTGGGCCTGTTCAGAACAGGATCAATGGCTTTTCCTCAGAAAAAATATTGTAGTGGGACCGGTGTTTTATTTGGGTTGTCAGACTGACATATGGAGCAGTGAAGGGGCTGCAAATGGGTCTGTCATAGAATCAGAGAATGTAAAGGGGTTAAATATCATCTAGTCCCAACACCTGCTGTCATGGGCACCTCCTGCTAGCCTAGGTTGGCCAAGGCCTTATCCAGCCTGGCTTCCAACACTGCCAGGGTTGGAGCATCCACGACCCTGTGCAACCTGTGCCAGTGTCTCACCACTCTCACAGTAAAGAATTTCTTCCAAATAGCTAATCTAAATTTCCCTTCTTTCAATTTATACCCATTCCCCCTTAGTCCTATCACTATAATTCCCGGTGCACAGTCTCCAGCTTCCTTTGATCCTGGCAGGGCTGTGTGGTCCGCACGGAACCTTCTCTCCTCCAGGCTGAACAGCCCCAACTTTCTCGGCGTGGGGAAGAGAAGGAGGGGCGAAGCCAGCCGGCGGTCTGTCCCCACCCTGCCCCCTCTCTGTCCCTCCCTGCCATTCCCTGGATTTCCCTTCCCTTTTCCCGCCGGCTCCTCTCCGCCCCCTGGCGGCGCGCGCCGACCGCGGGCCCCCCTCCCTCCCTCCCTCCCTCGCTCTCCATCCTCCGGCTCTGCCCTATTGTTCTCCCGTCCCTCGCTCCCTCCCTCCCTCCGCCGGCTCTCGCGTCCTCCCTCCGCTCTCCTCCATCCCTCCCTCCATCCCTTCCTCCTCCTCCTGCTCGCCGTCCCTCCCGCCCCGCTCCCCGCCGCTGATGTCACGCACCCGCTGAAGGCGCGGGCGATCATGGCTGCTGCGGCCGCGGCCGCGCCGCCCGCCCGCCGCTGATGCCCGCGATGGAGCCGGCCAGCCTGCTGCGGTTCCTGCGGAAGCTCAAGGAGGTTTTCGACGTGTGCGACGAGGATGCGGACGGCTTCATCCGCGTGGAGCACTTCGTCGCCCTGGGGCTGCAGTTCGGCCAAGGGGATGAGGTGAGTGGGGCGTCCCCCCGTGTCCCCCCCGATCCCCCCGCAACTTTCACCTGCTGTGCAGGGCCGGACCCCGCCCGGACCGCCCCGTCACCCACCTGCCCGCACCGCCCCTCTCACGGCAGCCCAGACCCGCTCCCTTCTGGGACCCGTCCCTCGGGGGGGTCCCACAGCCCTCCCCATGGCAGCCTGGACCCCCTTTCCCCCCGGCCGCCCTCCGCCTTTCCCGAGGAGTCCTCCCTAAAGGCATCCCGGCTCCCTCCATCCCTCGGGGGGATCCAGACCCCCGGGCTGACCCTGTCGTGGTCCCCTGGGGTGGAGGGACGTGTCCCGGTGCCAGCAGTGCTGGGGGGTCGCGGTGCCTTTCTAGAGGGGTGTTTATTGTGGTTTTTCTCCGTCCTGGCTGAGCCGAGCCCGCACCGGTCTGGGTTGGGGTACTGGGAGCTCTGTTGGGGTACTGGGAGCAGAGCCAGGTCTGGACAGGCAGGGAAGCACCTGTGTGGGCACCCCAAAAGCTGCAGGTGATGGGTTGGAAGCGAGGGCTCCCTCCATCCATCCATCCATCCATCCGTCCATCCATCCATCCCTCGCTCCAGCCCTCCAGTGACACAGCGTAAATCTGGAGTCGCGCCACTGGTCTCGGAGCGGTTGCGTCAGTGGGACCACTGTACATCGTGACATCAGTGTAAAATGGGAGTGGGATTCGGGCCAGAGGCAATGAGGGCAGCGACGTGCGCTTGGTTTGAAACAGTTCCCGTCAGTGGTTCCATCAAGGGCTGCAGATCCAGCGAAATTAACCAGCAAGAAACGCTTTCCCATGGAGAACTCCCGGGATATTGCACTTAACTCTTCAATATGGCCCAGCAATTTTGGGTACCAGGGAGGAGGAGTGGAGTTGGGACTGGGATAGGGTTCAGAAAACCAGTATCAAACAACCTTTTAAACTGCAATAAAATTAATGTGAGGAGCCCACGAAACGGTGGTTTATAAAGGGATGCCAAAGAGGCAGCAAAACCAGAGTAATTGTTGGAGCAAATTACTTATTTCTGGCTTACCACTCTTAGTGAAACACAGCTTGTGAATTAAATCAGGAAACCAGGAGACAGAAGGCTTATTACTTACAGATAGTCACAGGTCTGTTAAACATTTTCTTAATGAGAAGATGGAGTTTATTGTTTTAACCAGCAAACTAAGGAGAAATGAGCAACAGTAATGAGTTCTTTGATTTCTGGTTTTATTTGTCTCTTGGTAAGTGGTGTAATTTTATATAAACTAATAGAAATATTTTTAAATCCTTTCTGCTACCAGATACACTGCATCCAAATTGCTTTTTGCACTGCTGTGTTTATCTGGAGGGAGACCAGTGGATTTTTCATGCAGCACCGAGGAAGACTGATGAAATTCCACTGGCTGTTTTGCAGCAGGATGACACTGATGATCATAACAATCCTTTTTTGGTCTCCGAAATCTTTAAGGTTGTGAGAGGGGAGCGGGTTCTGTAAGATGCAAAGGAGGATTCAGGTGGTGATCTCATAAGCTTTGAGTGAATTGGAGTATGTTAGTTGGAAAACATTTAAATGGAGAGAAAGAGGAAACTGAAATGTCAGTACAGACAGCACTAGAGAAGTACCAGTTGTCAGTGGTTGTGTGTAGGATTCAGGACAGGCTGGCTTGCTGGGCAGGCATGGGAGAGATTGCCAGGGATGAGAAGCGCATCCCTTGTATTTTGTTCAGTTGTAACTGGCAGTGTTTGATAAGATATTTGCAAATCTGGGACAGAGAACTCTTATCTCTACATCTTATCTTTTTATCTGTCAGGGTTACAATATAACTTGTTCTGGTTTACTTCCCTGTGTCTGGTGTAGTCAGAGGTGGGAGCACGTGGCAGTTGAGTAAATGGGATTTGTAAATCACCAAAAGAGGTTTGCTAGAGGAATACAGAATCAGTTTTGCAAGTGCAGATTTACTTTAAAACAGCCACTGTAGATGAACTAGTCTGGTTTTAAGGCTCTTAAAAATGGGCTTTCTGTGTGATGAATCACAGTTGATGTTTGGAAATGGCAAGAATCTACTCTTTCAACCTTGCATCTGCAGGAGCCTAATAAATTCTGTGTGGGAATACATCTCATGAAATTAAACTGAGGAGACACTGTTAGGGAGCAGTTTCCTTTAACACATTGGAACATGTTTACTGTCAATGAAAATCAATTATATTTTTGAATATGCTACAATTCTTGGGCTTGATCCACCTCAGCTCCCTTTACATTCAAAGATCTTTCCATTCTCATCAGTGAAAGATGAATTTGCCCTCCTGTGTCAGTCATTTGCTCCTTCTGTTGATATAGTTCATGAGGTGACAGGAGGGATCCTATTTGGTAGCAAAGTGGTCTGAGTAATTCTAACTCTTGCCAACAGCAGCCCTGGGTTATGTCTATGATCTGAGAGAGTATTTGTCCCTTCAGTAGTGCCAGCCTGGCACAAGCAGCTTTCCATCTCTTCTCTGCCTCCTCTAAGCCACCACCATCCAAAGTTTGGAGTCTATAAATTCTTAATATTGACTTCAGTGGGGCTTGTGGCTTGGACTGTGCAGGGCATTTAGCCTTTTCTGGCTGTTTCTTTCTCTTTCCTTTTTCTTTCTTCTTTGCTTGTTTTCGTGTGACGTGTAGTGAACATGCTGAATGTTACCATTCCTGAAAGATAACAACTCTGAAAACTGCCCCAAGGCAAAATGTTGCAGCAAGGCAGCAGCTTTCTGTTGAAGCAAAGCAATCCTTACCTGCGCAGTCAAAATAATAAACTTTAACCTTTCTGGTTAACTTTTTTACTGTTTTATTTTTAGTGGGCTTTTGAGGCCTCTGTTTCTAGTAGCTTGATGCTTTTCTTTTCCCGAGACTGCACCATCACTGCTGTACCTTATTCCATTCTGCCTTGCACCTGCACACCAAAATGCTGGTCTTGCCATGCAGTTTGATGCCCACTGCAGCAATGCCAGTGGCCTCAGAGTGGCTGTTTAGGTGGGTGTTTTGGCTGTGGAAACACTTCTATCAAGTTTGCTTACAAGCTTTTGCTTTGCCCTAGAAAGCACGTGGTTCAACTCAAGGAGGAAATGATTTGTCCGTGTAAATCTGGCCCAGCCAGGAGCAGAGTCATGTCTCTGAATTCCTGAATTTGAAGCAGACCAGACTAGCTGTCGAGCACTCCTTACCTGTTCAAATGGTTGTGGATCTTGTGCTTTTAGGCAGTTTGGCTTTCTGGCCTCCGTTCATCCCATCTGGCTGTGGGCAGTTAACTGAGTTGCCTAAATTAATCTTTCTCCATGGACATTGGTGAGCAATTGAACACTCGGAGGTTGTAACAGGACCAGAGGACAAAATAAATCTCTCAGAGGTGCTTCTTCATCTCCAGGACAACAGAAACTCTGAGCTGAGACTTCTGGTTCAGTGCTGAAAGCCAGCAGGGTTGGGCCTGGCCTTTCCTCTTGAATGGGGTGTTTGCTGTTTGTGTAGAAATCTGAAGAAAGACATGAAGGGCTGTTTCCAAAGCGACTTGACTGGATGGCATGTGCTCACCAGCTAAAGAAACACTTCACATTACACTGAGAAATGCCAAGAGTCGCTCGCCATCTGCTTCCCTTTCACTGGGAAGGGAGTTTCACTGCCAGCCAAGTGTCTGGGAGCACTGTGAGTGAGTGACATGTTCAGCAAGCCCCAGTTCTGGCAGGGGACTGTGTGAATGTGTCTTTCAGGATAGTGCCAGTTGATGTTTTATTATGCCAGATTCTACTTCAACTCCACATTCAGTTTTCAGCAACAAGTGAAGCAGGCTGAGCATGTTTACGACTCCTTTCTGAGGCAGGTAATCACCTTCTGGAGGTGTGCAGACCGTGCAGGTGCTTACACAGGGATCTGTCATGGTAAAATCAACTGCTGCTCATCAATCCGAAGCAGTGTCACACCTGAAAGGCAACTAATAAAATATACAGGCCAACATCAATTATTGATGTGAGTGGACAGTAACTCATTTGCAGTCAGTAGTTTATTAGTGGTGTAGAACAGAAGCAGCTGAAAACAAGTTCACATAGTTCACATGAACAAATGAAAGCTTCTGGCCAAAAGAAACTATTGCAATAGGGAGATGTTTGTTGCTAATTTTAGTTGCTTCCATTTATCCCCATTCTGGGCTGACGTTAAAGGCATCAACCTCAAGTGCTGCCCAGGCAGTAGATGCTCCATTTTGACTTGCTCTCAGATGTCTCCCAGGAGCTGATGTTGTCATGCTCTCAACTCAGCCCTTCTGTTGTAAGCGCTCCAGAAGCAGCTTCTCCTGTGAAGAGCAGGGCTGTAGTTTCACTGCCTGACAGCGCCGAGTCTTCCTGAGGGGTCTGGGTGAATTTCATGCCCTGGCTGTAGTGATGCAGCTCAGAGTTGCACGCAGAAATTAATGAAATCACTGCAGAGTTACATCAGTGTGCGTGATGAGAGAGCTCACACCTTGATAATGTGCACTGTGCTCTCGACTGACCTGCAGCCATGAGGAAAAGAGGCTTTGGCACTGAGACATTGAAAGGCAGCTATGAGGGTGTTACCAAGTGATACTGCCCATTCTCATAATGGGGGGGGACACTTCCTTCTTCTCTGCTTTTCCTGGAAATAATTAAAAAATAAAAGTATTTGCCTGGATGTAACAAGGATACAAAGAGCACACCCATGTGGCAGTGTTTTCTAGGTAGCAGCAAGGCTGCCACACATTCAGATTCCTTAAAACTGTATTTGCTAATGACCCAGATATTTCACATAATTTACAGTGGCTGGGCAAAAATACAGTTCTGAAATGGCACAGTGGGGTCCTTATTTTATGGATTAGTCCAGGCAGAGCCACTGTAGCCTTCCTAATTCAATACAAGCTGGCAGTGAATATGTTTAAAATAGCCCTTTGGAATATCTTGAAAGTAAGCATGTATTTCCAAACAGCTGACATAAGGCAAGCTTGGTACTCACTATTAA